CTCAGTACAAGATAATGGCCTCCTCTAACCTTTGTTTAAAGTGGCTCACGCAACCCAGATCTGTGCTATTAAGATTCTCTGGGCGGAGACTATTGAGCCCATAGATATGGACAGGTCATGGATCTTTGCAGAGTCACATTATGTGAACAATTGATTGCCATTCATATTTTATTAGGCATTTATTGTTCATTAGGGAAAAAGAAGAAAATATTAGTTTATGACCTTTGTATTTAGGTCTGTGATAAATAATTTTGGAATGAGTCAAGTACTCAACACTGGGAGAATTTTTCTTCATCTGCTCTCTCATAGTATAATTAACACAGGTTTATTAGTTATCAGAATGAATGTGCACCTACCTGAGGCTATGATGACCGTAATTATTTAGGCAGTTACCATTTTTAACTTAGAGAAGTATCCGTTCTGCTCTTATTTTTACACTTGTGCTTATTTCTTTTCCTCTACCAGATAAAAATTTCTGGGCAAAGACTTTATCTTAATAATTTAGCATTGTTTTTGCCTCACCTTCTTTAAGAGTTTACTTACTGTTGAGTTGAATGGTAGATTAGCTAAGTGTATTCATATTGGCTCTGATTTACAAAGACGTAGGACTGTTCTGCAATTCGGAATCTCTGCTCACATTGTCCACCTTAGAGGCCAAGGGGAAAACCACAAAGTTGTTTTATTGAGCTAAACATAAACTTCTCGCTAAAAAATTCCTATTTGATATTTTTATGAGATATTTCTCTGAAGCTAATAGTGACTACATGTCCTACAGTGTCTAATAATCTTGTAAATAGAACTTCATATGTGGATAGGGAAGAACATTGGTGACATGATGTCATGGGTAGAAGTGAGAAGAATGTAGACTTTCAACCTTGTTTAGGAAATAAAGCTGGAAAATGAAGTGAGTAGAGCTGTTCTAGAGGATGTGTGCGTGTTGTCTACATGCTAGCTTCTGATTTCTGGAAAACGGGAATTTAGAGGCTTAAGAGAGATGTCAGGGACCAAAATAGTAAACAAATCCAAATAGAATCAGATTAGCATAATATTGGCAGATTAACAGTAAGTCATTTAGACACAACCTGTTCTCAGGATAGAAGTTTTCATATCACAGAATTCTTTAATTCATGTTAACTTTGGATGTCCTGTGTCATTAAGATTAAAGGACACATTACTAGGGAAAACTTTATTTAATCAGTGACTTTGTAAAGTGCCCTGTAGAACAAAATGAGATGCTTCATGAGCAATTCAGTTATTTCTTTCATCAGAGTACAAAGGAATGTAAACTGAATGTAAAGTGAACTGCTTACAAGGTGAAATGGTGTGTAATATATTTGAAATGAGGCAGCACCTGTAGCTCAGTGGGTAGGGGCCAGCTAAAACAACAATGACAACTACAACAAAAAAATAGCCTGGCCTTGTGGCTGGTGCCTGTAGTCCTAGCTACTTAGGAGGCTGAGTCAAGAGAAATGTTTAAGCCCAAGAGTTTGAGGTTACTGTGAGCTGTGGACATCCTAGCACTCTACTGAGGGCGACAGCTTGAGACTCTGTCTCAAAAAAAAAAAAAAAAAAAGTAATGTATTTGAAATGACTTGAACTCATGTTGGGTATCATAAAGTTGTCTGGTCCCCTTTGCCTCCTCCATAGCTAGAGGCTACCAGGTTAGTCAGCCTCTTTTAGATAAAAGGCACCTTTAAAATAGGTGGTTATTTATTTATCCTGGCTTGACTTTGGTCTGTGATTGTTTCCTAAATTATGACTTGCTCTGGTTTCATGATGTAGTTTCTTTTCTTTTTGCCCGTCAGTAATATGAGGAACTTTTATTTAGTAGTAGTGTTTTAACAGTTAGGCTGAAACTTGGAGACAGCTTGATAGCATTTGAATGCTACCATATTGAGGGTGTTAATTGGAGCCTGAATGAACAAGCAAGATATGTACATCTTTGATGAGATTTTGAGCAAGGATCTCCCAGTTTTTTCTTCTGTTCATTTCCTTTATTCAAAAAATATTTGAATGTCTATATGCTTTTCATCACAGTATTTTCTCAGATATTGGTATTAACACCCTCAACCCAACCATCTCAAGAACCTTAGAGTGTTAGTGTCCGGCCCAGTAGCCTCTAGCCACTTTTAAATTAACATTAACTAAAGTGAAGTAAAATAAAAATTCAGTTCTTCAGTCATACATAGCCACATTTCAAGTGCTCCACATAGCTAGAGGCTACCAGGTTGGTCAGTGTTGCTCTGAAGAACATTTTCATCATCAGCCTTGGCTCACTTGGCTCCACACCTCGAGAGACACTCAGCATCCCCACTCACTCTATCTCCTGAGACCTGTGTGTCTCACACTTGTTCCCTTTTAAAAGTCCCCTTGTCTTTAAGTCTTCATCATCTGTCACCTGCATTAGGGCTCACATTCAGTTACCAGTTCTGTGAAACCTTCCTTGCTGTTGCCCCTGGCGGCAGGCACCTTCTCCCTCGTGCTCTGTGCACACAAAGTACACACCTCTGAGATCTTTGATTCCATTCAGATTCTCTGGGCAGAGCCTCAGAACACTACCTGCTTGTTTATATGTGTTTTGGTGGTCCTAGAGGTTTTGGGGGGTATGGGATTGGGCTTTGGTTGTTTCAGGTAGGAACGCTCATAACCACAATAAATACGTCTTTATCGAACAGGTAGAGAGAGGTACAGGTGGGTGTAGGAGGCTGTAATAGGCTGTGTTTTGAAGGCTGGAGATCTTTGGATACCTGGAAGCTAGATGAGAAGAGGACATTTCTGGCAGGGGAGTGTCAGGGACAGTAGCCCAGACATTGGAAATTAGAATGCAGTCGTACTCCCAGGTGGGCACAGAGGAGTGTTGTCAGTGCCACTCAGAGCTCCACCACATGGGCACACACAGATTCAGAATGGTGGCATCACATATACTGTGCTTCCCTGTGCTGGCAGGTACTGCACCTCTTGCTTAGAGGTGCTGTGTTGTACACTTAATAACCTTAACCTATAACTTCAAAGGAGTTAAAGATGTGCTTTCTACTATAACATGGAGGCTATATACTCACAAAGGTTAGAAATGGTTAGCAGCTCAGTAGGACAGAAAAATGTGTGTGTACATGTCCGAAAGGAGACAGTCTTATGTGCATATTAAAACAGTGACTTTGTAGTCAGATAGACTCTTTCTGACTCTGCATTTTCCTAGCTGCGTCATCCTCATTTCTTCATGTTTAATGTGAAGACTGAGATTATATGACGTGTTAGCACTATGTTTAGTCCTGAGCAAAACATTTACCAAATAATATCTTATAACAAAAATAATTCCATAGCCTCTCACACAAATGTGAAAATCCATAGTTGTGTTTTCCAAAGGGAGAGTTAACACGTGATTCTTAAACACAAGTGGTCATATAGAAAATACATATTATGTTGGACACTCTTCTTGACCTTAGATAGATATAACCTAGATATAACCATCTCTAAAGTGAAGTATATAGTTCTGGTTACTTTTGAAATCATGAAGTCAAATTAGCTGATGTGGTAGAGGTAAAATTAGGCCTGGATAACCTAAAACCCAGGGATAATTTTCTGTATTTGGAAATAAGGTGATTGCTTATGCAAATTACTTAGGGAAATTTCACTTTTCTCTTTTACTCTGCATAATCAAGAGCATTGCTGTAGCTGTACAGCTGCTTCTGAGGAAGAGAGGGAAAATAGTGCGCTGCTTTCAAATTTAAATGAGTAAAGTAAGACATATATAAAGTAGACTATCATTGAATGATCATTCTGTTTTTTTAAATATACTTTTAAAAGGATGGTGGCAGTCTTAACTGTGTTAGTACACAAAATCTCCCAGCCTACACAGGATTCATACATGTCCAGATAATTCCTGTTAGCAGAGCAAAAGTTGCTTTTCTTCCCTACTACAGTTGCACAATTCCTACCTCTCCTTGACTTTGGGAAGGTGTTTGGCACACCTCACCCTACCTCTGAGGTACCCTGCTCTCGCTTTCTTGCATCTACTTACTGGATTAAAATTATGAGTGTTTATCTGCCACTTTCATAAGACTGAGAGAGCAGGCAGTCTTCCGATTACCAACGAGATAGGTTCTGTAGTTTTGTTCTTAAGTTGAATTTGTATGTAAGTTGGAACAGATACATTTACCAATTACCTGTGATATCCTCCACTTGCATGAGTTGTGTGTAAGTTGGATATTTGTAACTTGGGGACTATCTATAGTTTCACAAACAGGCATTTTTGAAATTCATGTTTGTGTGTTCAGTGTTCAAAGAGGGGCTGACAAATACAAGATGCTTGGTAAAGTTTTGCTGGATGCATGGATGCTGCCTGTTCACTAAATTTTTCTTGTGGGTATTCTTCCCAAGTAGGCCATAACTCTGAAACGATAGAGAACCATATTACATTTTTTGTTACCTCATAGCTTTAGCACATTGGTAAACATTTATTAGATTTCAGCCTTGCTGTTAATATCCACTTTTAAGGGTCATTTTGGCAATGATTAAACCTTTGTTTCTATTAGATAGCTATAAAATGATCAAGATTTTTATTGAATTTAAATGTTGTTCTGGGAAAAATTAATACAAATGCTCTTATCAGGTACAGTTCTTATGTGAATGATCTGTATTATCCGATTCTTTCTGTAGGGTAGTAAAAAACCTAAAATGTATGTGGTGTGGAGTAAATGAATCAGGTAGTTTAGTTGAATACATGTACAATATACTTGACTTTGTTTTTCTGCTCTTTGTTATTTACTGTGAGTTGTTGAAATTAATTTCAGAGGCTATTTTAGGATAGGGAGTTGGAATTATACAGGAATCCACATACCTTCTAAGCTCCTAGCTGAAACTAATTAAAAAAGAACTACTTCTAGGATTAGAGCTCCCTTGATGAAATTATTGAAATGTGAAATTTGAATTTAAGACTTCCTTGAAAATATGAATGCATTTTGCCTACTGGTTATTAATTTTTTTTCCCCTTTTCTTTTTAGTTTTAATTTTGATTGCTGTTACTACTGGTATCTGAGCCAAAGTGGTGATGCCACTTGAGGGAAATTTCTGCAACTTGTAAGTCAACGATTATATGGTAAGAGTGTGTGCTTTTACCCTTGAAGCCATTTAATTTCTGTAACGTTATAGTTTAGAAATGTAATTAGAGATAGAATAGCATAAAATATTTTAATATTTTTGAGTATTAAATATTTAATATCAGTATGTTTTAATGTATAAATATTAACAGCAGATAATATTTAGAGCTTTAGATCCTAATCAACAGTTTAAGACTTTGAAAGAGAAAAAAAGTAACTTTATATATTCATTTCATATTAATTTTTTATGTGCAAACAAATATGACTGTCTAGTTTATGACTTACTAAACTGAGGTCTCATTATATATCTTACTAATAATGAATGGGTATGAGAAGTCAAGGTTTAGCAACTTAAATCTATTCAGTTTTGCTATAAATTACTCTGAACTGGTGGTAATTATAGCAGTGTCTGAAATGAGGGTTTTTGAATTATTTATGGCTTTCAGCGAACTTTCTTGCTGTATTTTTGAGATATAATTGAGGAATAATGAGATATAGCAAACTTGTAGGGCATCATTTCTTTGAGCTTCACTTTCCACATGTGTAGAACAGTCTTGCTTGTTTTATAGAATTGTAGAAATCAAATGAAAGATGTGTGTGAAATTTCTCTTATTCTTCTTCCTTTTCCTATTCCCCCCTCCCCTTCCCTCTCTTCTTTCAAGGGTAGGGAGAGAATAACAAATGTTTTCTTTCCTTAAAGATGGTGTTGAGAGAAAGTAAGTAGAGGAAAGGATGCTGTATCAGAAGTTGGAAGACTTGATTTCTAATCCTGTCTCATCTTGACCTTTGTGTGTCATTACATTGATTTTCTGTAAGAAAATGGAATTTGATTTCCATATTCACTTTATAGGTAACCTTTCAGGAATGTATCTGTGGTCTCTGGCCATAATTGAATTAAGCTAGAAATCAGTATCTGATATCTGGAAAGTCCCCAAATACTTTGAAATTAAACTCACATTCTGAATAACCATGGGTTAAAGCGGAGGTCACAAGGGAAATGAGAAAATATTTTGAATTGAATGAAAATGAAAATGTCAAAATGTTGGGGGGTGCACGTAAGGGGAAATGCTTGTATTGGAAAGTAACAGGTTTGAAATAACATATACTTTCTCCTTAGGAAATTGGAAACTGAAGAGCAGAACAAGAAAATGTAAATAACAGAGAAAAGAGTAGAAATCAGTAAACTAGCACAAAATAAGGCAAAAAAAAAAAAAATCAGTGAAACTAGAAGCTGGTTCATTGATGAAATAAAATTGAAAAACCTGTGGCCAGACTAGTCAGGAGCAAAGAAAGAGAAAAGAGAAATTCCTAATGTTAGAAAAGAAAGTGGGACTCTCACTATAGAGCCTTCAGATATTAAAAGGATAATAAGGGAATATTAGGAACCACTTCATGTTAATACATTTGATAACTTTGATAAGTGAACAAATTTCATCAAAGACACAAGCTACCAAACTGCACTCAAGAAGAAATGGATAGGCTTGGTGCCTGTGGCTCAAGTGGCTAAGGCACCAGCCACATACACCTAAGGTAGTGGGTTGGAATCCAGCCCGGGCCTGCCAAACAACAATGACGGCTGCAACCAAAAAATAGCCAGGTGTTGTGGTGGGTGCCTGTGGTCCCAGCTACTTGGGAGGCAGAGGCAGGAGACTCGCTTGAGCCCAGGAGCTGGAGGTTGCTGTGAGCTGTGATGCTACGGCACTCTACCCAGGGGGATAGCTTGAGACTCTGTCTCAGAAAAAAAAAAAAAAAAAGAAGAAATGGATAAACCTGAATTTCTCCTTTTTTTTCTTTTGAATTACTCTTTATTACACAAATTATATGTTTAGTTAAAAAGTCTCTCATAAAGAAAGCTCTAAGCACGTATAGCCCTATTGGTGAATTCAACCCAACTTTAATATCAGTTATATACAAACTCTTCAGAAAATAGAAGGGAGCGAACACAAACTTGTTTTATGAGGCCAATATTATTACCCTGATTAAAAATATTTTATCTAGTAAAATATTATTAAGTTGAATGTAGTGAATATAAAAAGGATAACATATCATGCTTAAGTGCCATTTATTCCAGGAGTACAGTGTTGGTTCAATATTCAAAAATCAATATAATTTACAATATTAACAATAAACAACAGAATTTAAAAAAAATTTCTCTAATCATCTTGACAGGTACAGTAAAAGCATTTGACAGTATTCACTATCCATTCACAATAAAAACTCAGAAAAATAGGAATAGAAGGAAAACTCTCAGAAAAGTAGCAATAGACGGGAGTAGTTTCCTCCACATGATAAATATATCTCTGAGAAATCTACAGCTAATATTATAATTATCAGTGAAAGACTAAATGCGTTTGCCTAAGATAGGCACAAGGCAAAGCTGGTCACTGTAACATTCCTGTTCAGCCTTGTATTGGAAATATTCGTCAGTGCCGTACAGCAGGGGAAACACGGCATATGGACAGGGAAGGAGAAATAAATTCAGAATTCCCTACAAGGGATCCTGAGAAATGTAGATTTTTGTCTTCTAAGCCTCTGATGTAGGGGTGAGGACAGAGCAGATGGGAAATGTCAGTAGACAGTATTGCCTTTTGATTTTTGTGTTTAAGACCTGAATCCAAAAGACCTAAAAGCAAGGCAACAATTTTATCACTTGTGGTTTTCAGTTCCTGTTTTCTTCAAATTTAAAAGTGAACATCATCTGCTGGGAGAGTCTTCTTTCAGTGTTTTCTTCTTTCTGCTTAATACAAATGGGAAATCTGTGCGTGGTACTTTAAAAGTTATGCTTTTGTCTAAACTCCAGTAAATGGTTCTTATTTTCTTAACATATAGAAAAGGGCTACTGAACCAGTGTTAAGATATCCTCTTAAATTCTATGAGGGCAAACGTTTGTTAAATTTATTATAACTATCATTTAGAGTTAATATTTGCAAGCCTTTGGATGAGTTAAAATTGTTCTGTAGACTTGCTGTCTAAGCTTTAGCATAGATTGACATGTATATATAAGATTGACATGTATATATGTATATACCAGTCATATGTTATGTCTGTTGATTTTTACTCAGTAATTCCCAAATCATGTGCTTACTTTTAGGATGAGTAACATTGCAGTTTTGAGGAAACCTGAATTCTGGTTCCAGCTATCCAGCCTGGGGCAGTTACATGATAACACATTAGTGTCTCTGGATGGCTTTCCTATAATTATTTCTAAGTCTTGTGTATTGAAGCATTTTTACAACCTGAGTGGAATGCTTATAAATTTAAATGACTATATGGTTTAATAATTGTGTGCTTTTCTACTTTAATGACATTAAAGTATTGGCCATATCAGATGGGACCGAGTATTTGGTAGACAGAGTGGTATATAGAATGGTACAGGGAGTATAAGCTTAGTAATTAGTAGATCATCTTGTGATAAAATGCTAAAAACATACAGTACAAAATCTACTTAAGTCCTTGAGCCTCAGTTCCCTTATCAGTAGAAAGAGTGTAATAATCTTGGAGAACTTAAGGAAACATTAGAAATAGTACTCAAAGCTTCTAGCAGACAGTAGGTTTGCAAATATTGCCTCTAATAGAGAAACTTTGCTTCAGTCATATAATAAGACTTCAACACCTGATAGATAATTCTTATATTTACTAGTATATTTCACATTGGATAAATTGCTTAACCTTTTTGAGCCCTGATTTCTTTTTTCTTTTTTGGGGGTGGTGGTGGTGGGAAACAGAGTCTCACTATGTTGTTCTTGGTAGAGTGCTGTGGTGTCACTGCTCATAGTGAACTCCAACTCTTGGGCTTAAGTGATTCTCTTGCCTCAGCCTCCCAAGTAGCTAGGACTATAGGCGCCAGCCACAACAACTGGCTGTTTTTTTCTTGCCCTTGTTTTTGCTGTTTAGCTGGCCTGGGCTGGGTTAGAACCCACCAGCCTCGGTGTATGTGGCTGGCACCATAACCACTGTGCTATGGGCGCTGAGCTGAGCCCTGATTTCTTAATATATTAAATAGAGAAATACCAAACTCAGAAGTTCCAATGGGATATAAATTACATAATATATGTACAATGCTTATGTTTATGTAAATTTTTTTCTAAATGTCATCATTTAACTGGTTTACCACTGTTGGCTTTATTTTTATTTTTTTTGATTGATTTTCTCTAGATAAAGTTACCTGGTAACACTGACCCTCTTGATCACTTTTTGTTGGGTTATGTTCAGAAGGTTGGAGCTGATAGGATGCCAACATTGAATGTTTTGAAATCAAGTACATAGGTTGCAAATTTGAGACACAGTGGCTAGTATTTTTTTTTCATCCTCCTTTCACAGTTCAGAGAATTGGGAATCATTGACGAAAATGACCACTTAATTTATCTTTTTTTTTTGTTTGTTTTTATTTTTTGGAGACAGAGTCTTACTTGGTTACTCTTGGTAGAGTGCCATGGTATCTGTGATAGCTCACAGCAACCTTAAACTCTTAGGCTCAAGTAATCCTCTTGCTTCAGCCCATCTCAGTAACTGGGATGGTGTCTGCCATCATGCCTGCTAGGTTTTTAGAGATGAAGTCTTGGTCAGGCTCAGGCTAATCTCGAACTCCTGAACTCAAACAGTCCACCTGCCTTAGCTTCCCAGAGTGCTATAGATACAGGAGTGAGCCACCGTACCTGGTCCATTTAATTTATCTTATCTTTTTTTTATGAGTACAGTTTCTAGTTGCCAAAATAATGCTATCAGGATGTTTCTTGTTTCTAAAAACAGAGAAACTTTGTTTTTAACATAGGTGATGTTGATGGATCGTACAGCTTTACTGCTTGCTGTTTTGACCTTATCCTGTTATATTATGTTTATTCATATGATATTGCTAACATTTGACCATTTTAACCAGTAAAAATGGTGATTTCATATTGTTCAACACGATACTTCAGAGGCTGGTGTTTTCTTTACATACTTGGAAAATTGTCCAATTTTGTATTTTATAATTTGTTATTTCTTCTGGGAATTTAAATTT